GTTAGGACAGATAGATAGATAGATAGATAGATAGATAGATAGATAGATAGATAGATAGATAGATAGATAGATAGATAGATATAGGATGGATTGAAAGATAGATAGGAGGGTAGGTTTCATATATCCAAGATGGGGTTGGACGGATGGGATGGATAGATAGATAGATGGATAGATGGAAAGATAGATATAGGATGGATGGATGGATGGATGGATGGTTGGGTATGTTGGTGGGTGGATTCATGAATGGAAAGAGAGATGGGTATAGGATGGATGGATGGAAAGACAGATGATGGATGGAAAGAGATATAGGATGGATGGAAAGATGAATGAATGAAAAGATAAATGTAGGATGGATGCATGGAAAGATAGATTGATACTGGATTGATGGATGAAAGATAGATAGGTGGGTGGGTTTATGAATGATGGATGGATGAAAGATAGAAATAGGATGGATGGGTGTGTTGATGGGTGGGTTTATAGATGGATGGACGGGTGGGTGGATTGGTGGATAGATAGATAGATAGATAGATAGATAGATAGATAGATAGATAGATAGATAGATAGATAGATAGATAGATAGATAGATAGATTGATACAGTAGATTGATCCAAAATGATCCAAACCTTGAGCTGGTAGTCGTCTTCTGTTTATCTTTGGAGACACAAGTCCAAAAGCGGTGGTCTTCTTCCCTGGAACCACATGCAGCCTGGGAATCATTTCAAAGTAGCTGCTTCTGTCCACCTCGTTTGTCTCTCCTTGGACAACAATGTGGCACTTCTCAGACGTCCCAACCACGGCTGGAGTAAAACAGTGTATCTTGTCCTGAGAAATGTTCTGTGTTTCATCCTTATGTCCTTCACTGGAGGAATTACCTAATGGACCTGTTTCTGAGGAGCTGCAACAAGCTGGATTTTCCTGAGCAGGTCTGTGAAAGCTTCTTGGCTCATTTGGATGCTCAGATCTTTCTTTGGGTTTAATAGGTTTCTCCTGTGGTTCAATGTATCGACATTTTTGTGCTTTGGTCCCTTGTCCGTGTTTTCTTTGCATGCACGGTGTACAGGGTTCCTCTGCGAACCTCACGGTGCGAACACAAGCCGTACGTTCCCGAGTAGTACTGTTGGACCTCAGCAGAGGAGTATGAGTCTGAGCCCAAGTTTGTGAGTATACTTGGGTTTCTTTGGTAAGGTCAATTAGATCTTTGCAATTGCTAACCAAACTTCTGCTGTCCCATGTGTTTGGAGACACCCATCCCACCGGTCGCATCCCAGACTGAGTTGGATCCATTTCAGTGTGTCTGGAACTACTGCTGTTGTCTACCAAACACAAGGACACTGCTATACCATCCCGTGCAGGACAAATCCTCGTCTCGACTGAGAAATTAGAAGGGGTAGGTGTATGTGGATGGCACGAACTCAAAGACTCTTGTTGGTTTGACGTAGACGAAGAGGCCATCCTCCGATCGTCTTCAAATTCAGGATTGGCTACCTCTTCCCAAGGAACCTTGACTACACCCTGCTCGGTTTTGATTATGCAGCGAGCCAGAGGCGTTCCATGTCTCCCATCGTTGAGTTCCCGAAGCCAGGCTTCAGTGAAGATGCTGGGGTACGAGGTCTCGGGTATTGGGGTTTCCTCCAGCTCACGTTTCTCCTCCACCTCCAAAAGGCTCTGGACCACAATACGGGCTGCCTGGTTTCCAAACTGCACAATCTGCAGGTAAAAGTCTCCTGGTTTGAGCAGCAAAGGGTTAACAGGAGCGAGCTGGATCACTATGCGATCGTGTAAACACAAAGGCCACCCGGAAAACCTGAACACCCTCTGAGAGTACGGTGCCTGTTCGGGACACACAGAAAATCAATTTAAGTGGGGGACATTTAGAACTCAGTTGAGAATCCCTTTTAGATTCCAATTGGAATGTTACATTTAAATTAAAATTAGAAATTTGGCAGCAATAAGGATGCAGAATTCAAATTTGAATTTGAATCTAAAGAAGCCGTTCAAAAGAACTCATTATATATAAATAAAAGAAATTCTTATAACTGTAAAGTACAAGTCAAACTGATTTTATGAAAGCCTTTTTAAAAAAAAAAGCCTTGAGGTTTAGATGGATGGATGGATGTAGACATATAGGAGGACATATGGAAGGATGTACAGACAGACAGACATCTACACAGATAGATAGATAGACAGACAGACAGACAGACAGACAGACAGACAGACAGGGTGGAGGAATACTTTATTTCCCAGAATGCATCACCCGTGTTGAATTGACATATGGAAGGATGTACAGACAGACAGACATCTACACAGATAGATAGATAGACAGACAGACAGACAGACAGACAGACAGACAGACAGACAGACAGGGTGGAGGAATACTTTATTTCCCAGAATGCATCACCCGTGTTGAATTTTTTTTTTAATTAGGGTAAAAAAAGAGTGATATCGAAACAATTTTATGAGATAGTCTTATGTACTTTTTACAAATATATAATGAGTATCAATAAATTTTTCATGCATTGTATAAACAACTTTTAATTTATAACTAATAAAGCAATAAGACTTGCCAGTGCAGCTGATATTCCTCAATGTCACATGTAAGTGCATTTTTAAGTGTTCACATTCCAGTGTGAAATGCTGACTGCCAAGAATTAAATAATTACTGTAGATTATATTAAGATCGTTCTTCTTTTACTAATATAGATAGGGATTATGAAGTGAAAATAAAGAAGTGCAGCCCATGGAAGTGGTTCAGACGAGTATCTGTGGAAGATCAGGCTGATAAAGGGCTTTATTAAAAGAGTTTATTAAGTGAATAGCATGGAGTGATGCTCTTGATGTCAAAGACAGCCTATAATCACTGCGCTGAGCAGATGAACATCACACGGCCGGCTGCCTCAGTCACTCATTAATTGACCTCAGATACTGTGGTCTGTAGTGAAAGTCAGACGGCGGTCTGGAGCACTTATCTCAATGACTCCTCCAATATGATCCATCTGAAAGACATATACTGCAGTCGCTTCTCAGATCAGCTGAGCTCAGACAGTCCCTGTATGACACTGCTGCTAACAACTATGTGCTACTGACTATTTTCAGACATTAATGTCAATTTCAAAGTGTTGCTTGTTATTATTAATCAGAAAGCATCATAAGAGAATAAGGGTAGATTACATACTGTTTGCATGGACTTTTTCTATTAACATACTGTAATATGAATGTATAACAGAAAGTTTAAGGGTGTTTCCTCAACTTTAAGCACTTATGTCTTGGGTTGATTTTTACTAAAATGTACCCCCCTCCCCAGTTTTGTTAAATGATGGTCACATTTAAAAGTCTCTCTGAAACTTTTTACTGTGAATTCATCATGTATTTTGTTACTGTATTTTGATATATATTATAAAATGCCTTTTATACAATTTCTTTTTTATTCTAATTTCAGATCTTCATTCTTAAATTTGAAGAGAACAGCGTGTGCTCTTAAGATTAAATATGTGACCTGTCAAGAAAACAAGTCAAAGGTAAATATCACTTATGAACAATATATTTTTTATTAATTATCTCCTCTAATCAAGCTGAAAATGTGGTAAATCATGCTAAAAATGTCAAAATATTATTACATTTTATTTGTAATGCATGAAATGCTGGGTATGCAGCTCTGGCAATAGCTTGCCATTTTATTTTATTATTAAAATGTCTAAAATTATATTTTCCATCACTTTTTTTTTGTAAATTGTGCAAAAAGTGTAAACTATTTATGTAAAATATTATTTAATTTTATTTGTAATACATAAAATGACGGCTATGAAATCAGCCCTAGCAGAGTTTACTATTTTATGTTGTTTAAAATGTCCAAAAGCTCTTTTTCATCAAAGAATGAGCTGACATTTTGGTACATTATGCTGAAAATTTTAAAATATTAAATAATATTAAATATTAAATAATAAAATATTAATCCGCTTTATTTATAATAGATAAAATGATAGCTATGAAATCAGCCCTTAGAAGAGTTTGACATTTTATTTTATTATTTAAAATGTCTGAAAAGATCATTCCCATCACAGAATAAGCTGAAAATGTGGTAAATTATACAGAAAATATCAACATTTTATTTGATTTTATATAACATACATAAAATGCTGACTATAAAATCAGCCCTAGCAAGAGTTTGCCATTTTATTTTATTATGTAAAATATCTAAAAAATACCTTTCCCATCACAGAATGTTATTAAATAAATACATAATTTAAGATGTGATGAAAATAGCACTGTGATGGGCTAATGTTCATGACGTTCACTTGTGATTCATGCATGTTCACTGTTGGACAAATCAAACCAGTGTGAACCTGTGAAGAGTCTTTTAAGAGAGTTTATTTTCCGTATTTTCAGAAGGTCAAAAGGGACCCTAGAAACACTCATATATTTTTGCCCTGTAACTGATTTTAAACACGTTTTCCTTCACTAGTCGCTCATTGCTAGTTTGACTGGTCATTTATGTATGGTTTTTCTCACACTCACACAGGCCTCCTGCTGCACGCTCTCCAGAAGGTGTCTGGCAGGGATGAGGAAGTCGGTCAGACACTGGAGGGCGTCTCCGTGGTAACAACCCTCGATGACCTGGAAGAGCTGGCTGAGGACAGTAGAGGCCGTGACCTCAAACGGTGGGTAGAGGGCAGACAGACAGCTCTGGATCGACGAGTCCAGGGACTCAGGATTCTGTAAGAACACGCATACAGTCGCAGTTCATGAAAATTATACAGAGCAAAATAAAAATATTATAATATTGATAGTATTTTATAAGTTTATTTATTAAAAAAATATTATTCTGACATTTACATTAGTGTTTAAATGTTTGGGGTTGGTAACGTTTTTAATTAGTCTCACTAAGGCTGCATCTATTTGATCAAAAATACAATATTGTGAAATATTATTACTATATAGAATAACAGTTTTCTATGTGAGTATACTAAAATGTAGTTTATGTGATCAGTGCTAAATTTATTTCAGCATCATTACTCCAGTCTTCAGTCACATGATCTTCAGAAATCATTCTAATATGCTGATTTGCTGCTCAAGAAACATTTCTGATATTATCAATGTTGAAAACAGTTGTGCTGCTTCATATTGTTGTGCAAACTGTGATTCATTTGTGACCCTGGACCACAAAACCAGTCCTAAGGGTCAATGTTTTGATATTTATATATTTATATATCTAATAGCGGAATAAATAAGCTTTCCATTGATGTATGGTTTGTTATGATAGGACAATATTTGGCCAAGATACAGCTATTTGAAAATCTGGAATCTGAGGGTGCAAAAAAATCTAAATATTGAGAAAATCGCCTTTAAAGTTGTTCAAATGAAGTTCTTAGCAATGCATATTACTTATCAAAAATCAATTTTGATAAATTTATGGTAGGAAATTTACAAAATATCTTCATGGAACATAATCTTTACTTAATATCCTAATGATTTTTGGCATAAAAGAAAAATCGCTTATTTTGACCCATACAATGTATTTTTGTCTATTGCTACAAATATACCCCAGCGACTTAAGACTGCTTTTGTGCTCCAGGGTCACATATTATCTTTCAAGATTCTTTGATGAATAGAAAGTTCAAAAGAACAGCATTTATTTGAAATAGAAATCCTAATGTAATGTTACATTAAATGTCTTTACACAAATGCATCTCTGGTATGCTATAGATCCTGGTTCTTAAGGAAACATACAGCCAGTTTTTAGTTAACAAAAGAAAATGTTCAGCTCAAACTTGCTGAATTGAAGGTTGTGAGTGTAACAGACAGACAGACAGACAGGTGTGGGCTGGTAGATTGTGAGACTGTCCAGGGGGAGTTTTCAGTTTCTCTGACCCTCAAATCCGGCCCTTTAGTCTGTGGATCTGGATTTAGCCGCTGCTGTTTCAGCAGTGACGGACCGCAGGGTTAATGGACATTCCTACTGTCCAGTGGGCTTAAGTGTGCACACACATACATATGCCATTTAAGGACAAGTACCCAAGTGACAGGAGCCAAATGAATCAGAAACACGCATCTTGCTCTCGTTCGCAGGGAATTTTTCAGAAAACTTTGTGCAAGAAACTAATTTAATGTCAACATGAAATAAAAATGGTCTATTTCCTTTCTATTAGGAACGATTCATCAGTGCACGCTATTTTAAGACAATACACTATACAGACAAAGCCATTTTTTAATGCACTGGTCAAATTTTAGAAATTGGGTTATTTTACTTTCTTCTTTCATGTCTTCTTTTTAGTGGAAAGAACATGCACTTTAAATATTTATTTTATTACACTTTATCTATTTGTGCCTGTAGATTTCAATTACGATTCATATCTTTAAAGAGTTTTTTCTCCACTTCAGCAGCACTTACAAACACCAAACTTAGCAGTTTTATTCCTAGCAGTATTCTGAAGGTTTTTACCGTGGGGTTTGTTCAGATATCATTTGTACTGATTTATATAACATTTTATTCTTAAAATGTGCTGAAAATATATATATTTTCCTTTCTATTGACAGTATTAAAGTGACAAAAAGAGATATTTAGAATCCCCTCTATAAAAATATTCAACTCTAATATGTCAACAAAATTAAGCAAGAATTGTGAACCTGGCTTAATCCAGTGTTCAGATTTATGTTCAGGAAATGGATGCAAATTAGTGCATTTTCATTAAGACAATGCCTCACTTGTATATTTAATGGTAAAATATGGTGATGTCTATTAGTTAAAGTTTTGTTTAGTTTTGACTGCTTTTGAATGACTCTTGGTAAGGCCAGATTCCAGTTTTAAACAGTTTTTCGATAATTTCTTACAAAAAAATGAATAATAATAGTGTACTTTTAATAAATACTGACATAACATGTTTGAATCAGTGTCTTGAAGTGTATCTTGTGAAGTGTCTGATGTGAGAGTGGACACGTCTGTGATACTGGATCCGGTGTATTTCTGACTGATGCGCATTTATGTCGAGTGAGAAACCGACGCCACGTTTGAGGCTTGCTGAAATGCACTCGCAGCGACCTCCGAATCTCCTCTGACCTCAGTGGCCATCCATCAAATCACATGACTGATGTTCGGTGTGCGTGTGTGTTTGTGTTGAGATTTAGGAGTGAACCCTAGTTTTTAGTGTCCAGTTTCTCTCTCATATACGCAAATAACAACAGTCTGTAGTTCATATCCAAATCCGGTCACAATAGTTTTTAAAGCACAGCAGAATTAAATTCATTTTAAAACACATTTGAAACACTTTAGTTGCAGACTGAAGCAAGAACAGTTAGATTTGCATTTATATTGTAACTTTGTATTGGCTTTCAGGGTTTGCATGTGTAAAACAGTAATATGTATACACTACAATAAATGACTTTTTGAGGTTGCAAATAAAAGATTATTGGAGTCTTTACATTTTACAAAATGTTGCAACAGCGGTTTTTACGACATTTTAATGAAATTTTTAATTCAGTGAGTTATTTGTAATTATTTGTGAAATTTACAAGCATTTTCTAAGTGAAAATTGTTTCAAAGTAATTCCTAAACCAGTTTTTGTTTTCCAGTGTAAACTATTTTTTTGTTTAGTTGTTGTTGTATTGTAAGTAAAACAAACATTACTGGAGCAAGTTTTAAAAGAAAATACTATTTCAAGCCTTTCAACTTAAAATTGTCATGTTTATTTCAGTGCTACTTGCTGATTCTTTGTAATTTGTGAAATTTACTAGCAATTTTCTGTGGACACCATATTTTTTTTCAGTTTAGCTTGTGTCAATAAAATCATAAATTGTGTAAATTACATTTGTTTTTAAACCACAGCAGAATTAAAACAAGTTTTAAAACTTTTAATGTGTAATTCAGTGTTTTACATGTGCCTTTGAAACAATTTTCACTCAGAAATTGCTAGTAAATTTCACAAATAATTTAAAAGCAACATCAAATAATATTCAGTGTAGTTTGTATCTGTAAAATTATGAATAAGTTGAATCATTTGTATGGCCATTTTGCACCAATATTTAAAACCATGCAACAAGTATTTACTTGTGTGTATTTCCTGCAATTAAAATATTTCAGGTGCAGAACATCTTGAACACCTGTAGATGGCAGTAGCTGGAAAAGGTCAACAGATGTCACAGCCTAGCTAGCTAGCAAAGTGGCACTGGCCAAACAATCACGATCACAACCTGCAGCATTCAGGTCAGATGTGTGGCTTTTAGGGATGTAACGATTCACTCAACTCACGATTCACTTCAATTCACGATTTTGATTTCACGATTCGATTCACGATTTTTTTTTTTACAAAATTAGATTTAAGAAAAATTATAAATTGAATGTGTCCTTTTATTATTGCTTGGACAAAATGCTGCCCGTTTCTTTGTGAAATTGAAATATAACACTATAATAATATACTAATATAGCACTTGCATATTACTGCTCTTTTGTTGGTTTTGATTGCTTCTATTGTCCTCATTTGTAAGTTGCTTTGGATAAAAGCGTCTGCTAAATAACAAAATTTATATATAATGTAAATAACAAAACTTAATTGAAATTTTAAAACAAGCCCCAAATCAAATAAATATCTTCATATAAACAAAATAAGGCTTTGTCTGTGCTCTTTCCATTTAAAATTAGAGGCTATCACTGCATTTTAATCATGATCCAAGAAAAGATGCTGCATACATGCAGCATGAGCAATTTTTAATCTAAATTAGATTATATAATTTTGAAATTTGAAGCAAAAACAGAATGGTTTGACATAAAAAATATCTGCATGAAACAGAAACAGCAGACGAGCTGAATGAGACGCAGATTCACTCTCTGCCAGCAGGTGGCGCTCAAAGCGTTTCCTCGGTTACCGCTGTAAACAAAGCAGCGCTGCACTTGTGAACTTTAAGGGTGCTTTCACACTAGCACTTTTGGTGCGCACCCGGGTTCGATTGACGTCAGAGTTCGGTATGTATCTTGTGAAGTGTCTGATGTGAGAGTGGACACGTCTGTGATACTGGATCCGGTGTATTTCTGACTGATGCGCATTTATGTCGAGTGAGAAACCGACGCCACGTTTGAGGCTTGCTGAAATGCACTCGCAGCGACCTCCGAATCTCCTCTGACCTCAGTGGCCATCCATCAAATCACATGACTGATGTTCGGTGTGCGTGTGTGTTTGTGTTGAGATTTAGGAGTGAACCCTAGTTTTTAGTGTCCAGTTTCTCTCTCATATACGCAAATAACAACAGTCTGTAGTTCATATCCAAATCCGGTCACAATAGTTTTTAAAGCACAGCAGAATTAAATTCATTTTAAAACACATTTGAAACACTTTAGTTGCAGACTGAAGCAAGAACAGTTAGATTTGCATTTATATTGTAACTTTGTATTGGCTTTCAGGGTTTGCATGTGTAAAACAGTAATATGTATACACTACAATAAATGACTTTTTGAGGTTGCAAATAAAAGATTATTGGAGTCTTTACATTTTACAAAATGTTGCAACAGCGGTTTTTACGACATTTTAATGAAATTTTTAATTCAGTGAGTTATTTGTAATTATTTGTGAAATTTACAAGCATTTTCTAAGTGAAAATTGTTTCAAAGTAATTCCTAAACCAGTTTTTGTTTTCCAGTGTAAACTATTTTTTTGTTTAGTTGTTGTTGTATTGTAAGTAAAACAAACATTACTGGAGCAAGTTTTAAAAGAAAATACTATTTCAAG